CGCCGCGCCAGCCCGGCGTTTCCATGGGAACGCGGCGCGCGCCCCGTGGTCGGCGGCGGCCGGAGCCCGGCTGGGATGCGATCAGGGCCGCGCGGGGAGAACCGCGAGGGGCGACGGCGTGAGCCCACCAGCGAGGAGGACGGGAGCCCTGGGCCTTTCATCCTGCGGAAGCGCTGGCAGTACCAAATCCCTGGTCTCCTGCTCTGCAGGTAGCTGTGAGCGGAGCAGAAAAAGCTAGTCCGCCAGCTACCAGGAGGGAGACGTGAAGCCTAAGCCCACAGTCCGGGCTCCGCCTGTCTACTGCAAGCCCGCGTGCTTCTCTACGTTGAATCCGAAAATGTGGACAGATCGTTATTTAGTTCTTCCTTGGTGGAAAAGATTGTATTATACAAAGAAAGACCTAAAGGTGTGATGAGACACCTTCCGAATGTAACGAACACTGAGGAAACGCGCCCCAGATTTTCCTTTGAACACCCGTGTGCTTTTGCGCCCCTTAGAATTTTTGTGAGCTGCTCTTCCCAGTAAACCAGGTCTAAATTCAAGCTTTCTGCGCTTTCATTCAGGCAGCCTATGATCCTCGTATACTGTTGGAGTATGTTGTTGATACTGTTCTATCTCCTTGAGTTCTTTCAGGTAAAGGAAGTGTGGTTTTGTCATAAGCTTCGGTGGAAAGTCATTTCGCAGAAATGGATGTCCTTGGTCCTTTGGTACCTCTTTTAAAGCTTCTCTTCCCCTCTGGTGTTATGATGCTTGATGACTGCCTCAGATCCCTGCATTCGTTCAGCCTGCTGTGTTCTGGGCGGTAGCCTAGTCAGAAGAGCTTTTGCTCTTACAGAGCTGTTAGTGTGGGAGGAGGGGTAGAGGTGAATCAAACACATAGACGTAAAATTGCAACAGAGGTATGTGCTACTGTATCAGTTATTGTTCTGCAACATATCACCACTAAACTTAGTGGTTTACCAAACTCCTTTCTGGGGCTCAGGATTCTGTGCGTGGAGCGGTTATTTCTTCTACTTTGGTTCGGTTCCGTCAGGCTTTTCCCCATCTTTTCTAATCAACTGGTGGGTCTGCTGGTGGCTGGATGGATGGTGCTACAGTTTGCGTATGGTTTCAGCGCGTCCCCCAAAGGTTCGTGTGTTGGAGGCTCGGTCCTCAGTGTGGAGATGGGAAGTAGTGGACCTTTAAGAGGTGGCTCTTACGGGGAGGACTTGTGTCATTGGAGGAACTGCCCTTGGCCAAGTATTTGTTGTGGGATCCTGGTTAGTTCGCCCCAGAGAGCTGTTACAAGAGCCTGTGTCTTGCCCTGCCCAGATGTGGTCTTTCTTCTGACACATGCTGCTGTCCTGGGACACCACGGATCACAAAGTCTTCTCCAGAGCTGAGCCAGCACCGGCACCATGGCCTTGAATCTCCAGAACTGTGAACTCAATAAACCTCTATTTTTTAATAGCCTGCCTCCTGCATTTCATTTTAGTAACGCAAACGGATTAATATATATGGCCTCACTTACATGTCTTGGGATAGGCTGCCTGGCAGCAGGGGCAACATGTTTCTCATTTTCCAGAACAGCCAGCTTTCTCGTGTGGTTTCAGAGTTCTGAGACAGCAAGACAGGACAAGTTCCACTGCGCAGATGCCTTTCATGTCTCTGCCAGCAGCGTGTTCACCGATATCCTATTGGCTGATGCAAGTCACGTGGCTCAGACCAGCGTTAGTGAGTGGCGCTCCAGTTGTTAAAGGCAGGGGTGGCTGGTGAAGGGAGGAGAAGAATTAGTGGCTACTTTTACAGTGTAGCTCAGGTGCTAAGGGCAACTCTAAGGCACCAAGAGAGAACATGCTTAAAACAGAGGTCTGGTTTGAACCAGTTGAGGAAGGACTTCATTGAGAAAGTGAATTTTAGTCTGAGATCTAAGAATGGGAAGGAGTTTAACTGGGTGACAAGGGGGTTAAAGTCAGTGTAGGAAGAAGGATGGCATAGGCAAATCGCCTCCTTCCTCCTCAGCGCTATCTTTGGCCCTACACAAATTCCATGTTCAAAAAACGGTACTACCCTCTGGTTGATTGTTCAAGTAAAAACCCCAGGAGTTGTCTTTTTCTGTAGTCACGCTGGCAGTTCCCATCTGTTCGGTCTTCAAAACATATCCTGAATCACTCCTTCATCTCTTGTACACCCCTAGAATCCAAGTTCTATCATCATCACCCTACTGCAGTGCCCCCTCCCAGCCAGGGCTCCCATACCCCATTAGATACTGCAGTGCATAATCAGACTCAGAGCATCTCAACCCTCCACAGCTCCTCGCGCACTTGAAATCACATCTTTAATTCTTATCCTGACTATGAAGGCTGTGTCTCATTCCCGTCTACCCACCTTCCTTCTCTTGGTGAGCCACTGTGCTGTGCCACACTGCTTTCTGTTCCTAGCACTCACGGGCCTTTTAGGGTCAGGACTGTGTTTGTCATTCTCTCTGCCTACATTGCTTCCTCTTTGGGTCTTAATGGGTCTTTTCCATATAATAGTATGCTTTCACTACAAGAGCGAGGCTTTCTCTGATCACCAACCTACTATGATATAACTGTTTCTCTTGAAGCATATGCCACTCTCTGAAATTCATTTGTTTATATGCACTTTCTGTTTCCCATGACTAGAGTATATTTTCAGGAAAAGAGGTACTTTTATTCTTGTATTCCTACTGCTACCACAGTGCTATATCCATAGTAGGAAGTCAATAATTATTTGCATTTATCAATGGATAAATGAGTGAGTGAGTGAGTGAAAACCCCATGACAGAGCGAACCTCTTGTGTATGAAGAAATGGAACGAAGCCAGTGAGATTGGAGTGGAGGGGTGGTCGTGTGGTTGGACTGGTAGAGAGCAGCTAGATCATGTAGGGTAAGGGGTTTGGAACTTGCTTCTTGTATGAGTTAGGGTTCCAGAGAAACAGAACGAAGCATATGTGTGTGGGGGGGCAATTATATTATAAGCAGTTGACTCAAGTAGTTATGGAGACAGAAAAATCTCAAATCTGCTGACCATAAACTGGAGATCCCAAGAGCCAGTGTACATTCTCAGTCCCAGTGGAAACACCTGAGAACCAGGAAAACTGATGGTGTAAGTTTCAGTCTGAAAGCTGGCAGGTTCTAGACTCCCCCAAAGTCCATATTTCTAGACAGGAAGCTGGAAAAGACTGATGTCCCAAACAAGGGGCCAGAAAAGGACAATTTCCTCTTATGCAGCAGTTTGGTTCTACTCAGACTTTTAGTTGACTGGATGAAGATTAGTCACTTGAGGGAGAGCAATGTGCTTTATTCAGCCTACAGATTCAAATGTTAATTCCATCCAGAAGCATTCCTTACAGTAGTACTCAGAATGTATGCCTCACACGTGGGCCAGTCAAGTTGGTACATAAAATTAACTGTCACTGACCTTATTTTAGCATCAGTGTGAAGGTACCGATGTGCTAAAAAGAGCCAGGACTGTGTTTTCATAATGGACCATAAAGCTTTTAATAAATGCTCAGGTACAGCGTAGTAAATGTTGATCAAATATGTATTGAATTACACATCTCAGTCTCCACCTGATATATGAAATAAATGTGCTCTAGGAAAACTTCTCCTGAGATGTAAGCTTTTTGATCTTATTCTTCTGCCAAGAGATATTTCAAAACATATATCAGCATAATTTTCTCAAGACTTTTAACTACTCAGAGACACTTTTTTATATACTTTCTCTTGGAGCATATCAAGAGGAGCTGGGGACCTGCGAGGTCACATGGTGATATAGTAGGAGACCTGCACTTAAATTCTTTGTATTTCTTCTTTAATGCTTTTTTCCTACCATACTATGACACTCCCCCAGAGTACTTTTTTTGAAGTTTTTAAACAAATGTAAACATTTGAAAGTCCTTCTTTTTTTATTTTGAAGAGAATAAAAAATAAAAAACATTAGAAATGGTACAGAATTTCAAAACAAGATGATAGGAAATCAACAATGGTTGTTATATTGCACATTGTTATCTTCAAAGTAATTGTTCAGATTACCAGATATAAGCAGGCAAGATTGATCAAAAAATTAAACATTAACTGTTCCTTTCAATAAACCAATAGAAATTAGAAGTACAATTATCTTAGTATCTTGTGTGTGTATATATATATATATTTTCCCCTTCTTTCTTTTTTCATTTCATCCATCCCAATTATTTTCTCCTTTTGAGCAGTTTCTTTCCCTTTCACAATATCTATTGTACCATTCATGCTTCATTTACTCTTTCAGGTTCTTACACTAGTGAGACACTATGATGTTCACATATGGGGACTGATTTATTTCACTTATGAGTATAGTCTCTAGTTGCTTAAAAGTCATGCTTTATTTTGAAGAGGGAGGGCATATGTCATAGGATTGGTCCATCATTAGATGTAGGTTTCCAAAA